TCGTCGTCCAACTCGGTCGCAAAGAGAATGTTCTTCTTGAGCGTCGCGTGCTGGATCCAGGCTTCTTGGTTGACGTACGAGATGTTGCCGATAACATGGCGGACACCACCGACTTGGTGGATCTCGCCGAGGATCGCACTCACGAGACTCGACTTGCCACTGCCGACGGGGCCGACCACGATCGTGAGACTGCAGGGTTCGAGCTGCAGGTTGATGTTCTTGAGCGTCAGAGTTGACGGCGTCACCGCGTCGGCCTGAGCGTTGGCGTCGACAACAACGTCGGTCGTCGTCGATGCGTCCGGTGCCGCCCAGCTAAAGTCCCCGTGGGCTATGTTGACCATGGCGTCGCCGGCTTCAATCGCGAGCACTTCGACTTCGTCCGAGATGAGGAACTTGCTGACGCGCTGGCAGGACGCAATCGCTTCGGCCACCGACATGACAGCAGTCGAGAAGATCGTGCACGGCATGCGCGCCGTGTTCATGTAGGCGAGCGCCGTGAACGAGATGGGGAGCGTGAGCTCATTGCCAAGAGCGACGTAGTACATGAGGCAGAGCGCAAGCGAGAAGACGGGGCCAATGTACATGAGCACGGTGTTGAACGTCCGGCGCGTTTGGTACGACTTCAGGAACGCGAGTTCGCGGAGACGGATCTCGGCCAGTTGCGCCTCCAAGCTCGCCTCCCACGCGTAGAGCTTGACGACGCGGATGCCCTGGAGCACTTCGTTGGTGAGCTTGACGCGCTCGGCTTGGACCTTGAGGAGGTCGCGGCGGACCTCGCCGACCTTCATGCCCGAGATGTACCCGACGTAGAGGAAGATGTAGATGGAGGCGGCGCCGATGAGGCCGACCTGCCACCCGAGCTCGTTCCCGACCATGACGAAGACTGCGCCGAGCATGATCGGGCTCACAAATGCCCAGTAGCCGAGCATAAAGCCCATCGAGAGACGCTCGGCGTCGACGGACGCCATCGTGACGATCTCGCCGGTCGTCATTTCTTGCTTGGCAAAGCCCGAGAGCCGCAGCGTCTTGTAGCAAACCATGTCGATCATGATCGACTTGGCGTTGATACCGAGGTGCGACGTTGCGTACTGGGCGTAGTCGATGATCGTGACCGAGACGAACGAGAGAACCGTGAGCCAAATGGCGAGCGCGTACCCAGATGAAATGTGCAGCGACGTGTGGATCTCGGCGGCCACCGTGACCGTGCGGTTGCCTTCGGTGACGGTCTTGGTGTCAGGCGCCTTGAGGAACTCGAGCATCGACTTGATGAGAAGCGGCTGCAAAAGCTGGAGGCCGGCGTAGAGAAAGAAGAGGAAAAAGCTAAACGAGACGCGGGACCGGAACGCGTACCACAGCGCGCGGTGAAACTTGGGCGTCGGGCGGTGCTTTTCCTTGTCCCACTCGGTAATGAAGCGCGCATGGAGCTCTTGCGTCGTGTCGGCAAAGGGCAGCGGCCACACGTCGTCTTCGGTGAGCGTCTTCTTGGCGCCGCGCGTGATGAGCGGCGTGATCCAGCCCATGGTGCCGTTGACAAACCAGTTAGCGCGCTCGAGCGGGTGGGCCTTCTCGCCCCAGACGCTGGCCTCGACGGCCGTCGGCGACTTGACGGCAGCGTACGATGTCATTGGTGCGAGGCAAGTTGGAGACTGATGAGCCACTCACGCCGAGGATTGCGGACCTCGGAACAGTGCCAGCTGGTGATCTGATCGAGCGCCACGGCATCAACCGCCCCCAGCTGGCGAGCGCCTGTCCAAGCGCCGATCACACCAGCTGTGTTATTTTCACCTTGATCACATTTTTCACCTATTCCTTCCATTTCTCGTTCTCTGCAAGTCTGCACACAGGGCGCAGAATAGGGTTCGCGCCATGGCGGCGCAGTGTACTAGTATTGGAAAAGTGGGGCTTATGCTGTGCAGCTTTCATGAACACGCATTCCATCGGCAACGAACGCTAGTGCTTCGAGACAAGTGTTGCAGTCGATGCGTGCGCAAAGTCGACAGGTGGTTGCTCCTGCGTGTTTTTATCGTGTAGTTCTACCTAGGCCCTGCAAGTCCTTGGCCTCGGCTTTACGTATGTTTCGCTCAATTGCACAGGGGTGCTAGATCAAGGTACTCGTTATTGCTCAATGAGCTATTGTGGATGGCTGGCAAAGCTTCTTGAACCTCCGTTCACTGTGTAAGGTGGGGTGTACATCTACTAAGTACGGATCACTTTGAGCAGCGTACAGTAATGGGAGACGCATTGTTGTTCCCGACACTTGGGCTTCAGAGTTCTGTTGCGACGTACTGCGTGGGCTCATCTTTGATTGGTAGCTTGTGAGATAACCAGCGAGTGTTTTGGCGACGTTATCAGCATATATTGCACAATACAATCTGTTGAAAGGACCCTCTCGAGACTGGTCGCGCCTCGTGCACAAGACGAAAGAAATGCGCTCGCAGTCGCAGAGCGTGGTGCCACGTAGGAAGCCTTTTCACACGTGTGTGGTTTTTACCGTCGAGTTTCCGACACGACCACATGGCGGCTTTGACAAAGCACCTTCGTATTGCACGTGGGATTTACGTCCCAGTTGTTGACTTTGGCTGAGTGTAATGTGATTCCATTTAAATAAAATCTGGCGAATGAACTTGGGTTTGTAGTCTTAATTAAAAAAAAAGCCAAGTTTGGGGCCTGTGGGACATGCACGTGTCGGAGGCAATCTAGGTGCTCCAACGAAGCCTTCGAGTTTCGAGCGAAGTTGCCGACCGGTAATCGCACAAAAATGGCGTGGACTACGACAACGCAGTCGCAGATTAGCGATCTCTGATGCCTGCCGTCATCGCTTCCTCCCAGACAGGCTGTGCCACTGATACTCAGAGATGAGGACGGCGTGTGTCCACTGGCACACGCGTCATCAGCAACGCTCGCTCTAGAGGCCGTAGCTGCTACGCCAACTACGTACCGGTATATGTATTTGCAAACTCGGCTAGAGTGGACCGTGCCTCCCGATTTCTATTGAGCTTTGTCGGTTTGATTCATGTACACAGCTGAGCTATTCATGTGAGGCTCTTGCAGCCATCGCGAAGACTCATCGCATCACACCAGGTGTGTGCAAGCGCAGTGCAGCAGCAAGATGCAGTGCGATGCAAATCGTTCAAAATGTATTTGCGACGACAGGCCGATGCCACGCCATGAAAATGGCAGAGCGTCGCTGACGTCGCCTGTTGTCGCTCCTGCCACAATCGTTTCCCTGTCATTCCAAGGTTGGATGCAACCACCGACACCATTGCCGCTCACCCAAGCCTTCTACTCTCATGTGTATCTAGGTGCATAGTGCACTAGACAATGTTGTACAATGAAGACTACAAAGATCTGTGCAATACTACATGCTAGTGTACAGTAGTGCGCGCAAGATCAACCGAATTTCAAGATGCCAATCTCATCACCGATGGATTGACCAACGCTCGGAGGCCGAATGATGGTCCGTTAGCACCACGCCAACAGGAAGATCTAAAAGCCTTGCATTGTCAACCCCACGTTAACACATGAAGCAGTTAGCTCGAGTAGCTTTTTGGACTTGGTTCTATGTTCGTAGTATTACGTCGATTCGCCAGCAGCGTATCACTCCAACCTTGGGTCCGACACCTGTCGTTGTCGTTGTTGTCAGAACAAACACTTGATCTGAGTATACTTTCGAAACGCATTTCACAAATGGCAGAGTACGTCGCAGTGCAATCGCCCAAGGCGAGCGCGCCACCCAAGGTCCGCGACGCCAACCCGCGCGAAACCGCGAGCTGGGTCTCGGTGCTCACGATCGCATGGATGGACGGCCTTATCAAGCGGGGTGCGACGGCGCCACTCACCGAGGCCGACACGTGGCCGCTACCCGCCCATGACACGGCGCACGCACTCTACGACCGCTTTGAGAAGCACTGGGCGCTCGAGAAGATGAAGCCCGTGCCGCGGATCCATCTTACAATGTGGCACACGTTCCGCGCCCAGATCCTCGGGGGCCTGTTCCTCTACTTGGCGTACGCGGGTATCATGCTCCTGCAGCCCATCTTGATCCAGTCCATCTTGCAGTACCTCGCTGAAGACCCGGTCGTCCACACGTCCATGCACATCAACAACGGCTACGTGCTCGCGACGCTCCTCACGCTCCTCTCGTTTCTCTCGGTGACGCTCATCGACTATGCGCAGTACGCCAACACGCACACGGGCTGCAACGCCAAGTCCATTGCGATCGACATGGTCTTCCGCAAGACGCTTCAGCTCTCGGGATTCGCCAAACAAGAAATGACCACCGGCGAGGTCGTCACGCTTGCGTCCGTCGACGCCGAGCGTATCTTTATGGGCTTTAGCTTTGGCTACTGGGCTGTCATCGGACCCGTCATGCTCGTCGCCGTCTACATTATGATTGGCCACCAACTCGGCGCGGTCGTCGGTGTCTGCGGCGGCGCCGTGATGCTTCTCTTCCTCTACATTGGCTTTGTCTCGGGACGCAAGGTCGGCGAGGTCCGCCGCGATATCCTCAAGGTCCAAGCCGAGCGCGTCAAACTCACCAACGAAGTGCTCCAGGGCATCCGCGTCGTCAAGCTCTACGCGTGGGAGGCCAGCTTGGAGGCGCAGCTGGCGGCGATCCGCGACCGAGAGCTCGTGCTGCTCAAGGCGTACCAGACACGGCGGGTGTTCAACACGGTCGTGTTGTACATTGCGCCCGTCATCTCGCTCGCAATCTGCCTCATGGTCTACGTCGCTCTTGGCAATGAGCTCACGTCGCCCGTCGCATTCACGGCGCTTGCCTACATGAACATTGCGCGGTTCCCGTGCACGGTCTTTTCCACCGCCGTCATGATGACGTCCGAGATGGTCGCGTCGTGCCAGCGCATCAGCAAGTACTTGTCGTCCGACGAGATCGCGACCTCGAGTACGCGCTTCTCTCCTTTTGTGTGCTGTAGCTCAATGTGCGCTAGGTCTCGCGATTCAACAAGGCCCGTCGACAGTCGAGATGACAGACGCTGCGTTCAGCTGGGCCGCGCCAGCGACGGTCTCGGAGGCGCCGCCGCTTACGCTGCAGAACCTGACGTTTTCGCTGACGCCCGGGAGCCTCACGATCGTGGTCGGCCCCGTCGGCAGTGGCAAGTCGAGTCTCGTCAGCGCGATCCTCGGCGAGATCCACCAAGTCGGTGGTGTCCGCCACGTTATCGGCAACATCTCGTACGTCAACCAAGAAGCCTGGATCCAGCACGCGACGCTCAAGAAGAACATTCTCTTCCACTCCGACTGCGACGACGACTACTACAACGCGGTGCTTTCTGCATGCCAACTCGAGCCGGACCTTGCGATGCTACCGGACGGTGACGCGACCGAGATTGGCGAGCGCGGTATCAACTTGAGCGGCGGCCAAAAGGCGCGCGTGAGCCTTGCCCGCGGCGTCTACCACCGCAAGGCCGACATCTACCTCCTCGACGACCCGCTCAGCGCCCTCGACGTGCACGTGGCAACTGCGGTCTTTCACGAGTGCATTCGCGGCCTCCTTGGGGGCAAGACGACGGTTCTGGTGCTCAACAGCCACTACCATTTTCTGCCACTCGCCGACCGTGTGCTGCTCATGGACAACGGGTCGATCGTCGGCGACGGCACGTACGAGTCGCTCAAGTCGACGTTCCCGCATCTGATGAACTTCACCGAATCGGGCTCGTCCACGGAAGACGCAGATGCCGATAAGGTTGATAGCACGGACGACGCCAAGAAGACGGCCAAGCCGATTAGCCCGAAAAAAGGCGGCGGGCTCATGGACAAGGAAGATCGCGCCAAGGGTGCCGTCTCGGCCAAGACGTACAAGACATATTTTGGCTCGAGTGGCTACAACGGGTACTGTCTCTTCATGGACTAGCCCTCGGGAAGGCTAACTGTATATCCTGCAGGGCGGTCGTTGCAGCGTCCATCATCACGTTCTTTACGGTCTCGCAGACGGCGCTGGCCATGACCGACTGGTTCATGAGCTACTGGTCCAACCACACCACCATGATGGCCAAGCTCTCGTCCGGGTACATCTACCTCGGGTGCGCGGTTGTCTCGGTCTTCCTCGTCTACGGTCGATCTCTGTACGTGCTCATGGTCGCAATCAAGTGCTCGCAGTCGCTCCATGCGATGCTCCTGCACAAGGTCATTGGCGCGCCCGTCCCGACCTTCTTTGACGTGACGCCCATGGGTCGTATCCTCAACCGGTTCTCGAGCGACTTGGACCAAACCGACTCGCAGCTGCCGTACTTTGGTCTGCTGCTCCTGCAGTTTCTCTTCCAGATCGTGGCGGTCCTCATCGTGTGCGTCATCTCGACGCCGTGGATTCTCGTCGTCTACGCGCCGCTCGCCTTCCTCTTTTACAAGGTGCAGCAGTACTACAACAAGACGTCGGGCGAGCTCAAGCGGCTCGAGAGCATCAGCCGCACACCGGTCGTGACCTTGGTCTCAGAGACGCTCAGCGGTCTCTCCACCATCCGCGCGTTCAACATGACGCAAACCTTCCTCACCAACCAACGCGCAGCCTTGGACCACTACGTGAGCTTTTCTTTTCTCTACAACTGCTCGGCCCGCTGGTTCCAGATGCGTCTCGACTGGCTCAGCGCGGCAATCATCGCCGGCGTCGCCTTCATCTGCATTTTGACCAAAACCTCGATCGGTATTGCTGCCGCCGGCCTCACGCTGACGTACGCGTCGCAGCTCTCGGGCTTTCTCTCGCGGATGGCCATGATGCTCAACACAGTCGAGAACCTCATGACGTCGGTCGAGCGCCTCAGCGCTTACGAGGCCTTGCCTAGTGAAGATGACGCGACCGTGGATCGCGTCACGGTCGACGCGTCGTGGCCGGCGCAGGGTGTCATCACCTTTAACGACTACTCGATGCGGTACCGCGAACACCTCGACCTCGTCCTCAACCAAGTGTCGTTCTCGGTGCCGTCGGGCGCCAAGGTCGGCATCTGCGGCCGCACCGGCTCCGGTAAGAGCTCGCTCATGGCCGCGCTCTTCCGCATGGTGCCGAGCGCCACCGGATCGATTGCCATCGATGACGTCAACATCGCCAACGTGTCGGTGACGACGCTCCGGTCGCGGCTCACGATCATCCCGCAAGACCCAGTGCTCTTCTCTGGCTCGTTGCGCTTCAACTTGGATCCGTCAGGGTCGGCATCCGACGACGAGCTCTGGACGGTCCTCAAGCAAGTGCACTTGGGTGACGGCATTGCGTCGCTGGACGACAAGGTGGCAGAGCGCGGCAGCAACTTTTCCGTGGGCCAGCGCCAGCTGCTCTGCATTGCGCGCGCTTTGCTCCGGAAGAGCAAGGTGGTCGTCCTCGACGAAGCGACGGCCAACATCGACCTCGAGTCGGACAAGCGCATCCAGGCGACCATCAAGGAGTGCTTTGTCGGTATCACGATGCTCATCATCGCCCATCGACTCGATACGATCATCGACTCGGACATGATTCTGGTGCTCGATGCGGGTCGTGTGGTCGAGTACGACACGCCGACGGCGCTGCTGGCGATTCCAGACGGGTCGTTCGCCAAGCTCGCCGAGCAGGCGCACCTCCAAATGTAAAACCTTGTTTTGGGTTAATATCTATGTATTATCAACCTCATTCTTATACTTCTGTGTGAAAAACGAAATGCCTAGTCCCCAAGTCGAGGCATTCGTTTACCAATGTATTGCGCGCGTCGGGCGCTGGTCGTTGATCACCGGGCGGCTTGAAACGTCTACTCCCCTGTGCACAACATGTGTCTTTAACCGAAACCATGCCGTCTCATTATTGTCTGTGATCGAAGAATCAAATTGTACACAATGTCACTTGTATCAGTAGTCATGTTGAAGAATCGCAGCGGTAAGAGACTTGCACCTTCTGTCCACACAAATGCCTGAACGACCCCTCGTCCAAGAACGTCGTGGCGACGGCGCCATAACCAAACCCAAGGTTCGGCTTCGACAAAACCATCTGGGGTGTCACACGCCCCCGCGTCACGTCACACGATCCAGTGCTAGCGCGCCATGGAATTGATGTAAATACGTCGTCCCGAGGAGGTGTCGAATGCTCCGGATCGATGGACCAAGCCGTTCGCGGGTCGTCGGTCGAACCCAGGGGTAGGGTTGCATACAAACCGTCAGTCGACAAAAACAGATGGCGTTCCGATTCGACGCGTCCGCCTCGTGGAAGCTTCGATAGCGCGCTATTCATTTACGCTTTTCCCACGCAGCGGAACATGCTCCACCGCCTTGCGCTGCTCACGGCCCTCGCGTCGGCGGCCGAATTTTCGTTCAGCAACAAGTGCAGCTACCCCATCAACCTCCACGGCGGCGGCTCGGTGCACCTCTGCGACATTGCGCCCGGCGCAACGACCAACTGCGGCGTGCGCCTCGAGGCCGGTCAACACGGGCTCTTCAAGCACACGGCGACAGACGAAGCCAACTGTACGTACTAAAATATCTGCCGGTGTGTATGGTGACGTGGCACGCTAGTGGTCGAGTTTTCGCTCGTGAACACGCCGGGCTTCAACTTTGTGTGGTATGACATTAGCAACATCCCGCCGGGCGTACGTTCTTATATCGTACTGCACCGGGGGCTCACCGCAATGTAGCCGGGCTTTTGCAAGAGCTACGACGACTGCAAGGCCAAGACGGGCGGCAAGTCGGGCTACAACGTTCCCGTGACCGTCACGCCCACCAAGCACAAGGGCAGCGGCACGTGCAACGAGCTCGTCGACCTCTCTCCAACGGCGCCCGACACGTACCTCTTTCCCGAAGACAACACCAAGACGCACGCGTGCCCGATGGACGAAGCCTTCCTTGTGACTTTTTGTCCCAACGGCGGCGGTGGTGACGGCGCGTCATGCGGGCGCGTCGAAGCCAACATCGACTACTTTGGCAACGACATTGGCCACTCGCTCGTCTCGGGCGACCACGCGGCGCAGGCGGCTGCGTGCTGCGCGTCGTGCAGCGCCATGCAAGGGTGCGTCGGGTACACGGTCAACCAAGGCAACTGCTGGCTCAAGTCGTCCATGAACAACCCGTCGTCCAGCTCGACGGCCTTTTCGTCCCGCCGGAAGAGCCACCTGCGCCGATAAATGAAGCAACCCATTGACGATACGCAAGAGAAAATATGGATTATTGATGGAGTCACGGTGGGAAGTGGGGTTGAGCGCTGTGCTCAGTTGCCGTCCGTTGGCGTTGGCGTCTCGGTGACGGCAGAGCTACTGCCTGCTCCTGCCGGTGGATTTGCGGCTACAGGCTCCGTCGGTGCAGGCGCTGGCGTCGGCGTTGGCGTCTCGGTGACGGCAGAGCTACTGCCCGCTCCTGCCGGTGGATTTGCGGCTACAGGCTCCGTCGGTGCAGGCGCTGGCGTCGGCGTTGGCGTCTCGGTGACGGCAGAGCTACTGCCCGCTCCTGCCGGTGGATTTGCCGCTACAGGCTCCGTCGTTGTCGGTGGCGGCGCGTCGGCCACTGACGAGCTGCTTCCCGACGTCGATGACGCTTCTTGCGTCGCGCGGGGTAGCTCTGTGGTCGATGCTGGCGGTGCCGTACCGCTACCACTGGAGCTCGCGGTCACTGGCGGTGCTGTAATGGTGTCGAACGAGCCCGAGCCGCTGCCTGAGGCCGTGGCATTCGTCGAGCTGTTGACACTTGGTAGAGGAGTACTACTGGTTGCCGTCGGCGCTGGGCTGCGAAAAGGAATGTGGTAGCACTGGTTGTCCATCCAAGTCGAAAATATGTAGTCCAAGTTGCTGTACAACGCGCTCGTCCACGAGCGCAGCCACGACCACCTACCGTATAACCACGCTCGTATACGCAAGGTTTACTGAGGGAGCGTACGACAGGGGCCACGGGTGCCACATGTCGAGAATGTCGTTGGCCAGCTGCAGCAGATGCGGACCCTCGACGCACAGCGACGCGTTGGGCGCAAAGAGGTTGGACAAGTTGTCCTCTACCAGATGCTGCGTATAGATACACAAAGTCATTGTAGTACGTGTCATGGGGTACGTCGACCAGACCGGAAACGTCGCGAGCCAGGACCACAGCGCATTCCATGCGTCGCCGCAGCCATCGAGTGCACAGTTTGTCGCATTGTACAAGGAGAAGGACCGGCCCGACGTCGTCACCACCGTCTCGCCGGCCCAGAGCGCACTCACTTGGCTCGAACTCACTTGCAGTGACCACAGAATCTAAATCGGTGTTGCGACACAGCACCAAGCGCACCGCAAGTTTACCGGTTCAAACCACGCCGTCGAGACAAGAGGCGGGGCCAGTTGCGCGAGCAGCGCCGACGTACACGGGGTCGACGACGCACACGCCGGTGCGGGTGCACAGAGCGCCGAGAAGAACAAACTGGTGCCTTTGCGCACGAGCTGCGTCGCATTGTCGACCGAGTAGTTGCTCTGCAGCACTGCCTCGAACGGGTCGCAGCAGCCACCTGATGCGGTCTCAGCACCCGCAAACACGAAAGCAGAGCGATGGAACAGTACCGGCCGCTTCGAAAAGCCTCGCGATCGTCGGCGCGACTACTGTCTCAATGCACGCCTTGCCTACACATCATATTCGTTGGGCACAAGTACTATCATGACACTAGACCGTGGGTTGTGTAGAGCGGGCAGACGTCGGCGGTATAAGCGACCTGGAGAGCGGACGCGTTCGACATGTTGAGCAGCGACGTCCAGGGGTAGGCCACAAAAGCGGCGCAGTGCACGTCATTGAGCACCAACTCCACGGACGCGTTCATGACAACGCCAGGAATCGAAGCGAGGCACGTCACCGCGGTGGCCGGTAAGAAGGTCGCCACGAGTCGCTCGATCTGGGCTTCGGTCTCGATCGCCAGGTGTCCGAGGTAGTCCGAGCCGCTGAGGAAGCTGGACGTGAGGTTGAAATCGGTTGCGCATTGCGTCACGGTCCACAGCGGATCGTACATCACTACACAAGTATGCCTATAATGACGGCGACAATATTGCTATCGTAGTACAAGAGCTTGAGAGACTCGGTGTCCATGCATAGGCGTCGTAGGGCACGACGTTGACGCGCAGGCTGCCGGTCGAGAGCACGGAGCGCACCGCGTTGAGCGGCTCCACAAGCGTCGGAAGCGCCAGTGGCGGCATCGCCGTGTACTGTATTTGAAGCTCCTGACGCGAGGCAAGCCAAGTCATGTCGACAGTCGGTCGGACATTCAAAGGTACACCCGCATACACCTACGTCGTTGAATGGCAGCATCATCGACATTGGTGTATCGTACTGTTGCCTGCACCACCGACGCCAGGACCGAAAAGTTGGTCGAGGCTGAGACATTCGGGAACGCATAGTTGGTCGACCCCACGGAAACAACGAGGCGCGTCAACGTCGTCGACAGTGCCACCGTGTCACGCACCACGGTTGAAGCCACCGAGAACGTCACAGCACTGAAGACACTCGACGTGTCGGGTGCGCCGAGCCAGTTGAGCGGACACGCGTTCACGCCGAGGCACTGCATTCCCGCCACATACTTGGCCCACGCCGCCATTGTCGTGGGTGTCGCGTCCTACACCAATGACGTATCCGACCAGCGAATCGATTAGAAGAAGTACCGTGGTGTTGTGGCAAAATGCAAACGCCGGGAGCAGGTCGGCCGAGTTGCCGACACCCGCCGCCTGCAGCGCTGTGAGGAAGGCCGGGGACCACGTGAACCGCTCCAATGGCGTTGGCATAGATGTAGCGGACAAGCACGCGCTGAGCTGACGACACGTAGGCTCACTGCGGCATTGCAAGAAGGCATTTTGACACCCGAGGCAAGCCGCTATGTCATTGGTTCAGACGTGGAAGCATGAGCAGGTACCGTGCGCACCGCTCGGGGCATAAGGCTGACGCGCCGAGACATCGCGGAGCGTCAGCGTCACGGTGTAGGCGTTGGTGATCGCGTACGTTGCGTCGAGTACGTCTGGCCGGTTGTTTTGCATCGATACTTGCGTCGACGCCGTCGACGTGTCGACGCACACGGTCAACGCGTCGTCGCTCATCGAGAGTAGCAGTACATCGTACACTTGCTTGAGATGCACGCAAAACGCCATCGCTGATGCAGAGGCGTCTGCATTCAGAAATGCCCACTGCGTCGTTCGGTTGGCCAAGATAATTGGTGCAACTTGTCCTCCGAGCGGCGTGAAATCGTTTAACGTCACGTTAATGGCGCCCATGCTCACCGCATCTAGTCACATTCGTCAAGTTAAGTTATTGCATTTGATTCTCTCTTGTACCGAGGTAGAATGCGTTATACGCAAAGCCCGAAGTGACTGCGACAAGGACACTGGTCGATGTCGGCGCATTGCTCGGCGACGTGAGCGACCGAAACAAGCGCGTTTGCAACGGCCGGACAAAGCCCACCCTCGTGATCGTAAAGGGGGAAATGCGAGCGTTGGGTGCTGGTGGGGTGTAGAAGGACCCCGGGTACGTCGTCGTGTCGATTACACTAGACGTTGGCACTTGCAGCTGCGTCGACTGCAACACGGCCCACGCCCCAACCGACGCTGTAAAGGCGTCGGGCCATGCCGCAGATGCAAAGAGAGGTGGCAGCGCTTGCTGCTGGTCGATCGTGTAGTAGTAAATGTACAAGGTGTACATCCGCGTCAAGGCCGCTGTTGACGACGCACTCCCCACCGTAATGTCCGCGTACCTACGCGATAGTCCCATAAAGAAAACAAAGCTACCGGAGCTTTACCCGAGATCGAGGGGCGACAGGAGCGACCAAATCGCGTGCTTGAGTCGGTAAAACACAAAGGGGTTTAACGGCGCATGCATCTCTAACGTCAGTGCCAAGGTCGCGTACGACGTCTATACCACAGCTTGGATAGTACTCGTATTACCGCTGGATAGGTTGGATAGGTGCAAAAGCATACCTGGAACGGCGGTGATGGCAGCTCCAGCGTCGCCGACGGAAACAAATTGCAGTAGAAAGGCGTGTTCCAGAACGCAAGCGAGAGGCGCATGACAAAGGCGTCGTCAAGGCTCGGCGCGCCGGTATTGGCCACGAGAGGCAGCACGATTGACAGCACGCTACATGAGTCCTTGTCGGCTCTTCTACTAACTACAGACAAACGTACGAAGCGTCGACGTCCATCGAAATGTCAGCGAAAAGCGGTCGCGTGTCGGACAGGCCCCTACACCACCCACCCATTCACCTAGTAGTATGTATCATTTTGAAATGGTTGCGTACGTCTGCAGCCCGAGCGACGACGGCAATGCCCGTGCAACGCTGTCAAAGAACGACGACGCGTTGCCTTCGAGGTCCGTGAGCGCGATCGCACAGCCGGTGCGGAGGATCAAAAGCGGGTGGCTGTACACGGGCGCCGGCATTTGCACGAACGGCTGCGACGCATCCAAGTTGACATCAGCGGCGACGACCGACTAGAGACAACAGTATCAACTTTTCAAGTAGTTGATGCAAGTTTGTCGGACGATGTTGGCTGGCAAGAGCGCGCGCCACGCGCCCGTTTGCACCACCGCGCCGATCGACGACCGCCGCAGAACAGAGGCGTCGGTCATTGTGAGTCGCAAGAGCGACACCGAGGCCAAGCCGTAGACTTCGAGCGGGATCGGCGACAGCGGGAGCGAGCGAACGTTGCTGGCTAGCATCGGCAGCGCGTTCGAACGCAGCGACGCGACGATCGCAAAGACGACGGCGATGGCATCGGCGCCGTCTGCATCACGCAAGGCGACATCGATGGCGAGGTAAGCAGAGGGCAATAGCGCGACGCTCGAGCCCGATTCGAGCTGCAAAGCATGGGTCCCGTCCGGGTACAAGTGGTAAGAAGAGGCTATCTCGCTTAGCGTGAGCCACTCGCCTGTCTGCGTCGCATAGCCGAGCTCGAGGCCTTGGCGCATGCGCTTGGATTGCTCGCTAAAGTCGACTGCCGCCGGACCGACCGCGACGCAGAGCCCGCTACACGTCTACACCATATTTTGCATCAATCGGCTAACGTGAGATCGTGGACGTACTGGCAGTAGGTTGCACGCCGCGCTTGCCTCGGGCATCGAGAGGTTGGCTCGTAGGTTTAGTGAAGCGGCGACGACGCTACCGTCAACGCTGCTACAGGCGTACGGCACGAGGTAGTCGACCGCCAGCGTCAGCACAACGCTGCCACGCGACGTACGCTCCAAGCTGGGCGTCTCAATGTGCGTGAAGCGCACATTCGCTGCGTCGACGGCCATCATATCGGCCAAGACATTGCGAAAGATCGTCTTGGTCGCATCAAAGTCGGCCAGCGACAAGTTGGCACCGAGAAAGATGGAAAAGTTGGCGTGCGTCGGCGAGTAGGCCGAGCCGGCGCGTATGTGCGGCGGCTGCAGCACCGACGCGGCCAAGTCGAAGCCGCGCACCGCGCCAGCGACCACGACTCCGACAAGCCATGCGACGAGCATCCCTTACACGATCTAAAATCTTTGGAAAGATCGAAACGCTTGCGATGTTGAACCCTGTCCCTTCGACTCCATCACCGAGATCACCACGTATGCAGTTGGCCCGTCGCATTGCCCTGTGGTATCATTACATGCAATGAACAAGACGGACGTATCGGGTATTATGTCAAAGGATTGGGCGTCAACGAGCTAGACGTGTCGGAGAAAGGCGCTCGAGTTGCGCTTGGCGACCGCGCGTGGCACCGAGCGGAAGGACCCGTCCAAGCTGTCCTTCCGCTTGGCTTTGCGAGGCGACGGAGGCTCCAGAATAGGTGGCTCGTCACGCGCTGTCGTATCGAGCTCGAGCGTGGGCACTGATGTCACGGGCCGCGTGGTCTGCCGAGGCGGCGATGTAAACTTGGCCGGGACCTTGAAGCCCTTGGCCCAGTGCGCCCATTCGTTGTGTATTTTGTCGCGCTCTTCTTGCAGTCGCAAGAGCACCGACGGGCGCACGGGTGATACCGGCTCCTTGTCGTCGACGATAACGTAGTCGGTATGTTGCCGGAGACGCAGCGCTTCTCCCGACCCGCCCACCGAGTAGCGGCGGTGGAGGACGAGGTGACTCGTCGAACACGCCAGCGGTAAATCCGTCTTGAGCCGCTCTTCAAAGATGCGTTTGGTGTCAAAGCGCACGCGTTTCGTAGATCTTTTTGGTGAGCTGGCGCGCTTGACAGGATCGACCAAGCAGCTCACAGGCGGCGCCGTGTCCGGGGCAATGACGATGCGCCCGTCCGCGTCGATATCAACCTCGAGCATCGGAGACTTGGTTGCACGTGAAGGCGACGCAGTGGGTGACAATGGAGATGGGAGCGGTACTGTGTGCGGTGAGATGTACCCGATCGAGAGCTTGAGCTCGTCGCGGCTGGGCGGCGGCGTCGTGCGCGTTGCCTCTGCACGCATCGTGAAGACAGCTAATACATTATGACGATGGACGCACCAGTGCCGCAACAATGATCGCTGGACGTCGAGAGCGTCGACCCCATCGCGCTCGATCTGCTTCGGTCCGGTGGTCGCTTTAAATAGGTGCCAAAAGTTGGCGCCAACAGTTATGCAGCAACTAAAGACGGCCGTCGATACAAGGCTTGTGGTCATATAGCCGCAAGTATACTCCATATTGTACCAGTGCTAGCTAGGGTTTGAGCTATTGACATGGTTTGGTTCAGACTAATGGCCGAGGCTACGTACGTGGCGCGCCGACCCGCCGATGGCCGTGCGAGCTACGACGTGATTGGTCAATAATCGGCAAGATATCTTTGGAGTAGCCAATGATACTTTGGCAGTGGCGCGCTTCAACTGGTATACAAAGAGCAAGAGAGTCAAGAATCGAAAGATTGCCTATTTTGCGGTTTGCGAAGGGACAGCGGACGATGGGCTGCTGCTTCTCCAAGGAAGACGACGCGGGCTACGAGGCCAAGGAGAAGCTCCTGCCCAAGGCCCACAAGTTCGTTGAGATGAGTGCAGTGGGTGCGTCATGGAGGCTCGTAGGGACGTGGTGACGCGCGAGCTACCCAAGCCGACCGGCAGCTACAAGTCGCCCGACGTCACGGCCCAAGCGCCTGTCGAGAAGAAGCGAACGCCGACCAAGCCGACGTACGAGGCGCCAAAAGCACCGATCGAGACCAAGCCGATGCCACCGCCGCGAACGGAGCCAAGCCCCGTGGCCGTGGCGCCATCGATTGCGGTGGCGGCGCCATTGCAGCCCGAGCCAAGCCCGCCAAGAGATGTGGCAGAGGCTTCGCTAGCGCCTGCAAGTCGCAAGACGACGGACGTCGCTGACGAGGCGCATCTGGACGCTACTCATGCCACAAAGCCACAGGTGCAGCCCACGGCACCCGCGCCGGCAGCGCAGCCAACTGGTTCGTTCACCGTACCGCAATCACCCATCGCCAAGGCGCTTTCGCCACTTGAGAAGACTCCGTCGCCGGTCAACAAGCCTCCGACGCCCGTTGCGGCGCCTGCGTCCCCTATCAAGGTCGCATCGCCAGCGAGCCGCAAGAGCTCGTGGACCGAGGTGGGTGTGGACGACGCGACTCCCGTAAAGGAGGCGAAGGCGCCATCACCGGTCGCTCGGAAGTCTTCAGTCCAAGACGAGAAGGCGCCGTCACCGGTTGCCCGGAAGGCGTCAGTGCAGGACGAGAAGGCTACATCGCCCGTCGCGCGCCAAGCCTCGATCAACGAGTCCAAGCCAACCGCGAGTGCGGCCCCCCAGGCCAAGTTGGTGCACACCCAATCGTCCATCTCGGAACAAGATTCCACCGAGCTCTCTCGCAGTCGAGAGAGCTCGCACGCCTCGAACGAAGGCGACGACGCCAAGGACGACAAGCCTGTCGAACAAGCCGCTCCGGTTTGTTACTACCTCATTATCTGTCTCTCGCTAAGGCTCGCGTGGTATAGGCGGCGACAGCGTCCAAGGGCAAGAAGAAGAAGAACAAGAAGAAGAAGGGCAAGGGCAATGCGTAGGCGTACTTGCTGTTCTGTTTGTGCATCCGGCCTCGAAATCAATATATGCGTGATTATCGTCGCGCCCAAGGATTAACCCCAAGCACCACAAGGTGTCTCCTTGTTGCGTCCTGTTGCCCGGCCCTTTGGACCGTTCGAATTTTCATACGTTGTGATTGGTGGATCCAGAAAATCGCGGATTCGAATTTTCTAAATCCACCAATCACAACGCGTGGAAATGCGGCGAAATGCTGGAAGACCCCGATCAACCAAGGGATCCAAGCCACAGACCGACGCGTGACCGAGCGCATAGCGTCGCTAGCAGAGCACTTGCGTATGCATAAGGTCGAGCTGCGTATATATGCCAGCTCGATGGCGTCTGTGGCAGCGAAGCGCTGGTCTTAATCCTGTCAAATCGCATGTCGTGGTACGATCATCTTGTGGAGGTGTGCCCATCGAAATCGAAAAACGAATGGGCCGGCCTTTCCGCGCCGTGCTCCTCAACGACGTGCTCTTGGATGCGATCGTGTCGTACCAAGACGGGTACTTTGGCGATCTTCGCCCGCGCGTGCTGCAGTGGAAGAGTATGAAGCGCGACCATGGCGACTACCTCTTGCCGAGCGGCGACCGCGTCTCGGGCGGCCTCGACCTCATGCTCAACTGGCTCGGCGCCGACAAGCGCTTCCTGCTGCACATTGCCATCTACGAAGACAATTTGGATCTCATTCAGCGCTGGCTCGCGTGCTGCGGCCGGTCGTATGTCTCGGCCCAGACGCTCGACTGCGCAGCGCGCTTTGGCCGCCACCGCCTCGTGCGCTTCGTCCACGAACTCGGATACCCGGCGACGGTCCAGGCCATGAACTCGGCGGCGTGCTACGGCCACCTCGACGTGCTGCGCTTCCTCCACGAGCACCGAGACGAGGGCTGCACGAGCAAAGGCAAGGACTACGCGGCCGAGAACGGGCACTTGGACGTCGTGCGCTTCCTGCACTCGCACCGGTCGGAAGGCTGCTCCATGGCTGCGCTCAACTTTGCCGCGCGCAACGGCCACTTGGACGTTGTCCGCTTCTCGAACACACAGCGCGACGACGGCGCGACAGTCGACGCAATGGATTTTGCCGCGTGCAACGGCCACCTCGACGTCGTCTTGTACCTGCACGCGCAGCGCACGGAAGGGTGTACGCGCTTTGCCATGGACTACGCAGCCATAGGCGGCCACTTGCGCGTCGTCACCTTCCTGCACGAGTCGCGCTCCGAAGGCTGCACGACGCTCGCGATGGACGGCGCGGCCGAAGGTGGGCACCTCGACGTCGTGGCCTATCTGCACCGCCACCGCCATGAAGGCTGCACAGACAAAGCACTCGAGGGCGCAACGTACCGCGGCCGCGAAGACGTGGTCCGGTTTCTCTTGGCCCACCGAAACGAAGGCGACCTCGAGCGCTGCATTGACGTGGCTGAGAAGAGGTATTACATGCGGATCCGCGATCTGCTCTGGAACGAGCACGCCAAGCGCATGCCCGCATCGCTACCTGCCCAATAGACGTCATATTCTGTTTGAAAACACTGTTCTTGTCCTGCATGCAGAAAAGGCAGGAATCAACCAGCGGAATTGGCATCAACGCACCAGTGAGTTGGCGAGTGCGATGATGAAGTGAGCGTAGACTGCACGCCATGAACCAGTGGTACGAGCTGAACGATGCGCGCTATGCATGCTATCGTTGCTCCTTTCTAGTACGCCAAGCCCAATGACAACTTCATCGGCTACCAAAGAGATATATAATGACGTAGCGACAGAGGTTCTACGCGATGGCAGTGGCACTGTCGTCTTGCTACCAGGCTTCTTCCTCGGTCATAGCTTCTTGGCAGGCGGTCGCTGACGAAGTGGTCGTGTCATGTGTCGTGTGCGCCAGTTGCGTCTGGAGTTTGCCGCAGTGCGCCCGGAGCAATGGACTTGAAGTCTCGTGCGAAGCGCAGCATTTGTATGCAGACAGATTTCACAGATTGAGCGTCGATGCATGCACGACACGAATGATCTGAACGGGTATTACGTTGGCACTCGTGACCTGCCACAGTGAAAGGTCGTGCAAGCATGGCGTCGGCCTTGAGCACACCAAGCGCAGTGCAACCATAGAAAGACCGGAATGCCAGGTACGAACCAAGTGTCCAAGAGCAAGCGTGATTGCTGATCGTACATAAGGGAGGGAGGTGCTATGAGATGCGTCACCTTTGCGTCTAGGTCTAATATTCGGCAGATGCCGTGAACAAGAGACGCGCACGTGAGGCCGATGCGGTGCAGATCGAGCCAGCACGGTCGACGTAGTCATTCATCCGTACTTGGAGTAAGCACATCGCACCAGTATGCTATGGGACCAGCTCGCTGTTGTAAGAGCATGATGATTGAAGTTGCCCCAGACCGCAATCGTTGTGCCAAGTTATTTTCGGCCAATGCCGAACATAAGCGCTTACACTGCCTCGATTACGCATTTCGTCAACCGGACGAGAGAGTGTATCCGGTTGCCGCGTACCAGTTTTGCTTGCGCAAGAATGGGGCGGCGGGGCAAGGACGTCGGTGCGCTCTCGCTCGGCCACAGCGCTGGCATCGCCATGGGCGCGGTCTTCGGCATGTTCTGGATGCGCGTCGTCCTTGCCTTTACGTACGTGGAGACCATCTTCTTCATGATCCTCCCCGTCTCGGTCTCGATCCTTGTCGTTGCCGAGCAGCGGTCGCTCGGTCCCATCTTTGACAAGCTGTACGCGCTTCGCCTGCATGGCTTTCGCCTCTGAATACAGTCTAGGCTCTTCAAGATCCAGTCGATTGTCTACGTCGCGATCGAGTCGTCGAGCCTGCCTCGCAAGGCGCGGGCAACGTCGACGGCCACCACGCTCACGGAAGGCGCCTTGGCACAGCACGAGGCGTCGCCCGACTCGTCGCCGGCTGCTTCGCCTGTCCACAAGGCTGTCATGTACCGCAAGAGCTCTGGTAGGATCGTATCTCGCATCATCTTTGTCTGATGCCATATGCAGCTGCGTCCAACTCGTCGGAGCTTATCTCGACTGCGCAAAGCAGTCTCTTTGCCGGCGTGGGCATTGGTCTGCGCGACCACACAATGGGCTTCAACGCCGTGAGCGGCCAGTCCAAGCCCATTTACCTCCAAGAAGTCAACTCGGGCTACTTTGTGAAATCGGTCGACGGCCGCCTCAAGCTCACGGCGCGCCCGGACGACTCGTGTCTCTTTATCTGGGTCCGCGGGAAAACCCACCATTGGGGCCTCCTCTCGCTCTCGACCCAGCGCTTTCTCGGGCAAAACGTCGTCTCGATGGTCGTTGTGTCGGCCAAGAAGCTGCAAAACTGGGAGGCCTTCCGCGTCCTTCAAAATGGTACCTCTTCCTCGTGCAGTATGCCCTTATCGAAAGCACGTAGCGGACGTCCCGTCCATGGCCCCAGACGATGCGATCTCATGCCCGATCCACTTGATTCTCTGCTCGGCGCGCTTTGGCAAAGGTCGCTCTTCGCCGCCATTTTGCTTGTGTCTCATCAATACCTACAGGCATGTGGCTCTCCACGCGCTTGAAGGAAGGCGACCGCGTGCTCTCGCTCTCGAAAAACTACGCGTCTGCGCTCTGCGTACGGTACGCCTCGGACCTCGTCGCGTTCAAGAAGGACGCCGATGCGAACGAGCCTCGGCCGTCGCGGTCGTCGTCGTCGTCGTCGTCGCCGGCGCGGGACTCGTTTGTCGGCGACGCACCGACGCTGCCGTGGCTGTCGGCGACGGCTTCGTTTTTCCAGTCGACGTCCTTTGCGACCATTTTGACGCAGACGCTCGAGAATGTGACGTACGTCGTTGCACTCTCTTTTGCCTTGTGTCTCAAGTAGAGTGTAGCATGTCGTCGCTGACCAACTTGTTTGTCGACGCGTACGACGTCATGCTGCCAGACGCATGCGGGAGCTGGTCGGGCCACCCCACGCTCGGCAACGTCCGGCTCGTGAGCTACCCGATCTCGCCCGGGTCGGTCGACGAGTACCACGCGTGCAAGTTTGAGAACGACGAGCTCTCGTTCAAGATCAAGGTCCAGTTCCACGGCTTGGCGCTTGGCGATACGTTTTCGCTCGAAGTCGAGTACCTCCTCAAGAGCCTCAGCGACAAGCGCGTGAGTTTGACGTGCCTCAAGGCCGTGCACTGGCGCAAGCCGACGCTGTTTCAGCGACATATCGACACGGCGTCCCGGGCCGCCGTCCTCGGCGCCGCCCAGCAGCTCGCCGCGCTCCTCGTTGCGCGGAACCACTCGTCCAAAGTGCTTTGGAACCTGCCGACGCTGCTGTACAGCCACGTGCAGCAGCAGTTTGAGCGCAACCAAGTCGAGCACTTGAACGTGCTCGAGCCGCTGAGTTTGCCGTGGAAGTCGGCTCTCTTCTTCGAAAGCGAATCGACCAAGACCGTGTATGCGACCATGTGGCCGATCACGCCGTCGACGTACTTTGAGTGGTTCGTCTCGGACGCCAGCGCCTTCTTCCGAAAGACGCACGACGAAAGCAAGCATGTCAACGTCGACATGAGCCCGTGGACGTACCACAACACGCTTGGCCATGTCCGGTACGTCTATCCATTTATCCATCGATCCATCTATACATTTATCCATCTATCCATCTATCCGGTGCAACGCATTCATGTATGGTTGTAGGAAGCAGACGTTTACGATGCCTGTCGAAGGCTTGGCCGGCCACGCCACGACGACGGTCCGCGAGTACCAATGGTACGAAATGAACGGTACGACTTGCGACGCTATACATGCTACTGTTGCTTACTAACGAGTATGTATGTGCTGGTAGACGCACAGTTGCTCCGGTACGGCTCCAAGATCTACGTCGGCGACCTTCCGGACGGCCATGCCTTCTCGGTACGACCCCTAGCCCTAGGCGGGGTAGGGTTCATGGGTTCTAGGTGGAAGTGCGCTATGACGTGCAGCTGGATGTCCCGACGCAGACGCAGAGTCGTGTGACGAGCTCTATCGGTGTTGTGTGGACCCACAGTAGCAAGTTCCAAGCTGGCGTCGACGCAGCTGTCGCGGCGGCAGTCCCGGCGGCCATGACCAAACTCCTTGGTCGCATCAAGGCCAATCAGCACGAAGTCGATGACGTTCGCGAGATCCAGTGGCTGCCATCGCAAGACGACCTCACGGCCGCGCTCGTCGAAGCCATCGTGGCGGCCTTGGCGACCGAGTAGTTCGCCACAATCGTCAAGTTGCTAGATAACTTGACATTTCGTGTGATAACGCTTTGGAGGGTGTCATAACACGTGTTAGATTGCCTGCTTCGAAGGCCTTCGAGAACATCTTGCGGTTTGTATGCAAATATTTCAATATTGCTCTTGTCGGACCATGGCACACGTGACGGTCAAGCAGACGACGGGCGCGGCCCACGACGTCGAGATCGACGTGGCGACGGCGACTGTGCTCGAGCTCAAGCAAAAGGTGCAAGAGCTCCTGCACTGCCCGCCGGAGGCCCAGCGCCTCATCTTCCAAGGCCGCGTCCTCGACGAGAAGGCGACGCTCGCCTCATATGCACTCACGGACGGCCTCACGGTGCACTTGGTCATCAACGCCAAGCTCATGCCCGCAGCGACACCGACGCCGGCGCCTACTGCCACCCCTGCGACAACCCCTGCGACAACCGCTGCGGCAAGCTCCGCGCAAGTCTCGCTGGCGTCGCTTTTGCCGCTCTTGAAGCAGACGACGGCTGGCGTGGCGGCGCTCGCCACGCTCAAAAAGATGGCCGAAAACATCGTCAACCATCCGACCGAAGAAAAGTACCGCAAGATTCGTCTGAGCAACGAAGCCTTGAAGAAGAAAGTGCTGGACGTGCCTCATGGCCTCGCCTCTGTCCATGCGATGGGCTTCGCCCCTGGCGTTGAAGAGGTACAATGCTGCAACCTGTAACGAAGAAGACTCACGCTGGCGATCATTGTAGGACTTTCTTGTGCTCGTGCCGACGGCTAGCAACTGGGAGCACCTCGTCGCCTCCAAGCGCCTACTCGACCAAGCCAGTGCGCCCGCTGCCGCGCCTGCCTTCCCAGCATTCGCACCGTCGGCAGCGCCGGCGTCGGGTCCTGCTGGCTTGGGCAGTGACCCGCTGCAGGGCATGCAAGCGATGCTGCAGAACCCGATGCTTGCGTCCATGCTTCAGAACGACCCGCGCATCCAGCAAATGGCGCAGGGCAACCCAATGTTGCAGCAGGCGCTCGCGAATCCTGCGATGCTGCAGCAAGCTCTCGGCGCTGTCCAGAACAACCCGATGATGCGGCAGCAGATGCAGCAGATGATGGCCAACCCGCAGCTCATGGAGCAGATGATGCAAGGCGGTGGCTTCCCCGCAAGTCCTTATGGCATGGGCTACGCCCAACCGCCGGCAGCGCCGGCCGCCGCGTCGCCGTTCGGTGCCCCCGTTTCGCTCGCGACGCCGTCACCTGCTGCGCCCGTGTCCCCTGCAGTGCCGGCTTCGACTACACGCGCCGCGCCCATGGCACCGCCCGCCCGTTCGGAAGAGGATGAGATCGCCGAAGCCATTGCGCGCTCGCTGCGAGAGATGTAGTACGTCGTGATGCTAGTCGTGTAAGATCAAATCCAATGTATGTTGCATGCGACCTGGGATACAGCTCGGACCTCATGCACTGGCTGCCCTCCATAGCGCGCCTTGGTTCGGGTCAGAACGCTCCGAAGCTATGCCATCGCCGCAGCAGAAGGCGAGGAGTCAGCAGTGCTGGCCAGTTGCACGCATCGACGTCACAGCAGCGCAACTCCCATGTCGACAGCCCACTTATCGCCATAGAACTTCCGTGTCTTCGCGTGTTACTACTGTTGCACTGCGGGTAGTGTCCTCGCCTGCGTCGCTGGTGCCGCCGCACCGGACGCCGCACCGGACGCCGCAGGACCTCGGGTCGCAGAGGCGCTTTGGCGCAGACGCAGGCAGAGGGTCGCATGGCGGCTGGTGCCTAGCGTCAACGATTACGCACGTGGCACGCCTGCGTAGGCGCAATTTAATTCGAAAATGCTCGAAATAAAATAAATAAAATAATATTTGAAGGCAATTCGACCAAAAACCGAGTCGACGAGGGACACGAGGACGAGGATGGAGTGTCTTGGCGGCGCTTCCGTCGAGCTCGTCATGTACATCACGATCGCGCTGGCGTCGGTCGCGGTTCTTGGCCGCGCGCTCTTTGGCCCGATGATGCTCGGCGGGTACTTTGGGAAGGAGAAGTCGTCGACGCACTTGCTGGGCGGCCGGAAGAGTCTTATTGCTTGGCGCCGCCGGGCCATGAAGAACGTCGACCAGGTATGTACGATGCGAGCGTGAGCAATCATGGCTCAGGGTGCGATGCGATGGTAGCACATCCTTGAAGACATTGCAACGCTCGGCGACCACGTGCTCGACGGCTACGTCACGGTCAAGAAGGGCGCGGCGAGCAAGGTCTGGAAGAAGCGCTGGGTGATCCTCGATGCCTACGCGCGCATCAAGTGCTACTCGAACGCCGAGGCCGCGCGACGCAACTCGGCGCCCAAGCACACGTTTACCGTCCACCAGGTCGAGGTCGACGCCTCGAGCCAAGCGACGCTCGAGCTGCGCAACACGCTCGGAGCCACGTACTTTTTCCAGTTTGACGACGAATTCAAGATGAACAAGTGGCTCCTCGTGCTCCAGACGCGCGCGGTCCAGAGCACCATCACGGGTATGCTATCCTTGTCGTCCACCGTCTCGATGGCATCCGCATCCTGCATTAGGCCGCATTGACCCGATGGACATGCACCACGAGCTGCACAGCCTCCATGCGCCGCGCATGGTGCACTCACTCAACATTGACGTCGACGACTTTGTCGTCACTGCGCTCAAGGAGACGTCGATGCGCCAGTATTTTCTCGTCGCCAAGTTCAAGTCGGAATTGCATGATCACTCGATGGTGCCCGTGGGGCAGACGAGCCAGCAGCGCGTGAGCGAGGTACACTACGTTCTTACGCTCCAACCTCCTTCTCAACGATGCATATGCAGACGACCAAGTCGGTGGTATGGAACGAGCCGTTGACATGGAGCTTTCCGGACCACGAGTGCAACACGTGCGACGAGTGCCAGAGCCTCGGCATCACGGGCATGTTTGGCGGCCTCCCCGACATCCTCGTCGTGCACGTCCATGAAGTCACGATGCGCGTCAAGACGACCAAGATTGGCCGCGTCACGATCTCGCTCAAAGAGCTCTTCGGGCCCGCCGGTGTCCTCCGGTTCGAACCCCAAAGTTGCTTGCATTTTTACTCATTTTTCGTGTAGCTCGAACGTCGAGGCCAAATGGCCGATCCTCGCGACAACCCAAAAGAACCAGACAAAGGAGTCGGTCCTCGGCACGCTCAACGTCAAATTGGCCTACTCGACCGAGCACGCGCCGTCGTCCGAGTGCGAAGCCGACCCGATCGTGCCATTCCTCACCTCCGAGCCCAAAGACCTCGAGCTCATTGGCGAGTACGACTTGCCGGCGTCGATATCGACGTTCAAGGAGTTTGTCGAGACGTACCACAGCAGCGTCGACGAGCCGCCGGAAGGCGCCTTGTCCTCCAACCCGATCTGGGAAGCGTACTACAAGGAGCGCGGCGACACCGAGGTCCGCATTGTCATCCTCGTTTGCATGTATGAGATGGCCAATCGTAGATGGAACGCGAGCCGTGGGAGCCGTCGCTCATGTACGGCGGTGTCGTGCGCAAAGTGACGTTCCGGTCGTTGACGCACGCGCCCATTGGCCCATCGTCGACGATGACGACGAATACGTGGCACATGTCCGGGTACCTGCCCGCCGGGTGCGGCCCCGAGTGCGACGAAGGCAGTGAGATGAAGCAGAGCATTCGTGTGCAGCTCCACGATATCCCGTACGGCGACTGCTTCACGGTCGAGCATGTCACGAGCTTTGAGAAAATCGAAAATGGGCCGATCCACGTCAAGATCTACCTCGCGATTCCGTTCTCAAAGGGCTGCATGTTCAAGAGCAAGATCCTCACGCAGACCAAGTCGACGGTCGCCGAGTCGTACGAGCTCTTTTACCGCTTGCTCAACGAGCGCCACGATGCAATGGCCGAGGGCGAGAAGGCGCCGGCGCTTCTGCCGCCGCCGCACCGCCTTGCGCGCCTTTGCTCGATCATCGACGAAGAAGTTGCGCTCGAAGAGATATTCGAGAACCAGCGCGTCCACATCTTTGGGAAATGGGAGCCCAACCACCTGTGGCCGACGGACCGCCCGCGCTTCTCGAACCGCGAAGGCACGAAGGAGCTCGCGTTCGATGGCGTGACGCCGCCGCGTGGCTGGACGTGGACGTCCGAGTGGAAGATCGATAACAAGTACACCGAGTGCGACGAAGAAGGCTGGAGCTACGCGACGGACTTTCCGCGCTTCAAGGTGCATTTGGCCAAAGGCAAGTCGAACGCGCGGAAGGGCGGCAACTCGGTGCGCCGCCGCCGCTGGATCCGCACCATGTGCGTCATCCCCGACAGTAAAGAGTAAAGGACATATTGTACACACACAAGACACGGATAAATATATGGATGACAGTACAACGACGAGGACGAGGACATGGAAGACGCGGCTACGAGACGTAGATCTTCTCCATCGTCAGCGGCGCGCCCCATTCAAACGTGCCACGGAGGAGGAAGGCGCCGTACTTGTTCTTGCCCGCGCCTTCAACCTCGTACGTCGTCGGCGAGAGCGGTGTGAACGAGAGCGTGACCTGCTTCTCGACGACGCGCTGCGGCTTGCCCTCGAACGGCTGCAGCAGAAAGTACCCTTCGTAGACCCCGCTCTTGGGCCGATTCAACTCCATGGTGGCGTCCGTGCACTTGATGCAACGGTACGAAAACTTGCTCAGCGTCTGTCCGGGCTGCTCAAACGCAGTCGACGAGAAGCCCCACGAGCCGCTCCACTTGACTTCGTTGTACCAGACTTCGTACGCGCCGCGCAGCACGGGCTTTGGGGTTGCATCGAATGTCACCTCGGGCTTGCACTGGACCGGCGCCGGCGTCGTCGGAAGCGGCGCGTCCACAGGCGCTGGCGGCGTAGCAGGTGGCGCCGGCGGCGCTTCGTCGAGGGTGCTTATGCTCGAGATGCTCACAAGGTCGTCGTCCGAGTCCGAGTCGGGCAGCAGCCCAAGATACCGGTCGTGGGCAGCCATGGCGGCCATGGTCAATGGCGGCGGCGAGTCCATCGTCGGCGACGTGGCTTCGGGCACGTCTTCGATGGCGGGCGAGTCGGCGCTGAGCTTCCGGCGCTTGGACTCGTGGCAGCTTGTCTCGGTCGTCCCGGCCATGGCAAAGATCTTTTTTTCGAACGGCGGAAATTAGCAAATGACGACCAAGGTACCCTTTTTTGGAGCCGGATCTTGGTCGCCTGTGATTGGCTCAAAGGCCGTCGGTTATGTCGTGGCAGCGATGATTGGCCACCGCTGCGTCCTTTCGCTTTTTCTCGCGTTCGGATTCGCTACATTTTAGCGAATCATCGACATTCGAAACCGGCCCGCCTTGAAGTTCGAAATACAAGCCGCGAAGCGAGCGTTTTGGCGCCGGGACAGGCGGCCGCAAGCCGTCGTCGCTGGCCTCACTCTCTTCCGAGTCTCTGCACGCAAGAAGTAGATGCCACGTGCGTACTACAATTCGACCAACGTTCTGGGGCAAGCCCAGTTGCAGTCTGGCGAATGGATCATCTGCGCGTCCCAAGATATCCTGATCGCTTGGATATGCTGGCGGTTGCGACGCCTGGGGTTGCCACGTGTCCGTTATCCCAACACGACGATTGAGCAATGCAGCGACGAGACGCAGAACCGTAGGGTGAGCTACCGGGCAGTCGCGTGGGAAGCAAGCTCAAGAGCATCTCGCGGGCCATCACACTCATCTTGGAGCAACCACAACGCTCAGCAGCAACGCGAGCCAACGAGCACTACCTACTAGAGAACGAGGCCAAATGGGCAGCGATGTTGGACCGAGCAAGTTTGGTTGTTCCTCGATGTTCGCATGTACTACTCGTAACACTGCGCAAGGACCTTCTTCGAGTCGCCAAAGGAAGCGCGAGGTTTCCGCGTGTCCATTTCACGGCTGGAACTGGATTTGGCGCTGGTGGTAACCGGCTAAAAACACGCATGTTGAGGTTTTGTGTCACGGCGCGATGGGCAGCACAGACTTGAACCTGATCGGGTGCACGGTAGTGGACCTGCAGTCTGTACTATCGACGGCTGTCTGCAGCCAGCATCCACGGCCACCCCGCTCGACCGTTGTTCCAACCGGTTCCAGCAACCTCGAATCGGTAGCGGTTCGAAGTGTCTGTCGCAGCTTCGCGGCGCTTCGTCCGCGGCGGCTTCCTCGTCAAGAGTTCACCCTGCTTCGCCACATCCGTCGTGTGATTGGTACAGAAGTAGTATGCGTCCAGGCGCGTCCATGTCACGGCCCAGTTTTGACCTCACGTTTGTATGGCGGCCAATTCGCCGAAGTTCTACGTCGCGATCTTCGGATTAACCGAAGTTGAAACCGCCAATAAGAACGCGGTGTTTTGTGGCGTGGATTGCCAGCGGCTCGATCGCTGGTCATTCTGCAATTTCCTCCACAGCGTCCCTTCCCACGCCACCATGCTGCGCCACTCGTCGTCGCTCCTTCGCCGGACGCTGAGCTCGTCGACGCACCGCCCGAAGATCGCCGAGAGCATCACGGACCTCATTGGCAACACGCCGCTGCTCTACCTGAACAAGGTGACCAAGGGCTGCCATGCGCGCATCGCCGTCAAGTGCGAGTTCATGGAGCCGGCGAGCAGCGTCAAGGATCGCATCGGCCTGAGCATGATCAAGGTCGCCGAAGAAGAAGGCAAGCTCAACAAGGACTCGATCATCGTCGAGCCCACGAGCGGCAACACGGGCATTGGTCTCGCCATGGCCTGCGCCGCCCGCGGCTACAAGCTCAAAATTGTCATGCCCGACTCCATGTCGATGGAGCGCCGCATCTTGCTCAAGGCGTACGGCGCCGACCTCGTGCTGACCCCGGGCGCCCGGGGCATGACGGGTGCGTGCCTCAAGGCCGAAGAGATTGTGCGCGAGACGCCGAACGCGATTCTTCTCCAGCAGTTTAAGAACGCGGCCAACCCCAAGATCCACTTTGAGACGACGGGCCCCGAGATCTGGCGCGACACGGACGGCAAGATCGACATCTTTGTCGCTGGCGTCGGCACCGGCGGCACTATCACGGGCACGGCCAAGTACATCAAGCCCAAGAAGCCGGACGTCAAGATCGTGGCGGTCGAGCCCGAGGAAAGTCCCGTCCTCTCGGGCGGCGCGCCGGCGCCCCACAAGATCCAGGGCATCGGCGCTGGCTTCGTGCCCGACATCCTCGACCGGTCGCTCATCGATGAAGTGATCACGGCCAACGCGCCCGAATCGATGGCCATGGCCAAGCGGTGCGTGCTTTGTACCATGTACGAGACAGAAGACTCAGGTTCTATGTAGGTTGGCGGTCGAAGAAGGCATCCTCGTCGGCCCTTCGTCGGGCGCGGCCATCATTGCCAGCTTGAAGCTCGCCAAGCGCCCCGAGAACGCCGGGAAGCTCATCGTTGCGATCCTCCCGAGCTTTGGCGAGCGCTACTTGAGTTCGGCGCTGTTTGAGGAAGAGCGGGAAAGCGCTGCGAACCTCCCGACAACGCCTGTCGACTAAACGTTGTCATCATGAGTCTTTCTGTACGGTTGGTCATTTCCTTGCAAGCTCGTCTGCGCTCGCGAGCACCACGTCGCTTGAAGGGTGGGACTTCCTTATGAACGTATTAACACACGTCGCCAAGCTTCACAGCGTCCCGAGACGGTCGTCTGAGGCTGCATTCGCTGTCAAACCCCGTCGTCCGCATGTGGCAGCTGCCTCCGATTCCTCGCTGTCTCTACGTTGCATGAGCCCACACCCAACATGCTTGGGCGGGGGCTGACGCTCGCCAAGTGGTGTCGCGTCTGATGATGACCAGTCGCTGCGGAGCAAGGGAATAACCCTTGCTACGAGCTACACCGTGGTCAGGAGGAGCAGCTTCGATTTATCCATGGCGTTTGATTGGCTCATCGATTTTATCAACGTTTTCATTGGGTAGCAGCATCCAATCGATGACGCGTTCGTGGCCTTGATAAAGGTAGGAATTCCGGATAGTATCCGGAAATCTAAAAATACGCGCTCGAAATCCGAAAATCCGAAACTGCTCGGCTGCAGGACGGTCGTCCGTTGCCATTTTGGCTTCCGACGTTGCCAGGCTCATGGGTCGCTGTAAGAAGATGCTGCTAGCGCTCGTAGCTCTCGTGTACCTTGCAAGCAGCGTGACCGGTGCTCCGGCCTTGGCCAGCGACTGCACGTCGGACGCCGAATGCCCCGATGGCACGGGCTGCATCACGATCAAGCATGCGTCGTACAACCCCAGCGCCGTCTTGGGCAAGTGCACGCCCAAGCAGCTCTGCCGCGGCAGCAGCGTCGGCAACTGCCCGAGCTTCAACGCGCCGTCGGCGCCAGGCGGGTACCTCCAGACGCAGTGCGTCTTTATCAACACGACGCGCCTCCGCAACATCAAATGCTGCACGGGCAACAGCGCTGGCACGACCGCAGGTGGCGACAGCGCAGGAACCGGTGGCAACAGCTCGCGTGTACGGCTGCTAACCAACGACTCTACGATCACGAGTCTCAGCAACCTACCAGCCGACAGCACCGACTGCTTCCAATGCTACCGCGACCCGCTGCCGCCCAAAGGCTCGACGGGCTACTACGCGGGGCAGTTCTTTTGCGTACCGCAGCAAGAATGCAAGGCGTCGAGCGTCTTCCCGCTGGCTTGCAACAGCGGCAACAGTACGTCACATCTTCATCTCTCTCAATGTCGTCACGGAAATATAGTGTGCAACTCGGGCGTCAACGAGCTCTGCAACCTTCATGGCACGTGCACGCCCCTCGACATCAACGACCCGAAAGGCTCGTACGGCTGCGCGTGCAATGCCGGCTTCTCGGGCGGTCAATGCGAAAACGTCGTCAGCAGTACGTTGCCCTCCGTACTGAGCCGTCTTAACACCTCGGAACAGGTAGCTGCCTCTTTGACTGCGGCGACGGCAACATCAAAGGTACCTGCATCGACGGCCAATGCGTCTGCAAGAAGGGCTGGAGCGGCCCGCAGTGCACGCTGTGCACGTCCGACACGGCTTGCGGCGGCGGCCTTTGCAACACGGGCTCGGGGCAGTGCTCGTGCCTCACCAACACGACGATGGCGTACGAGCGCATCTCCAACGTCTGCTACCCCGGGGTACCGATACACCGTCCTCTTTTCTACAGCAACAAAGCATGGTCGTAGGGCGCGACGACGGGCACGACAAACGCGTGCACCGGTGTCATTTGCGGCGCGCTGGGCAGTTGCCAAGCCGGAGCGTGCGTCTGTGCGCGCGGCTGCGCTGGCACGATCTGCAAGCCGTGCGCAGACCCGTCGTGTCGTTCGTGCAGCCCGGCGGTGGCCCTTCGCCCGTCGCTCGGCGTCGCTGCTTCGGTCCTGCTTGCGGCCCTTGCCTACCTTCGTGTCTAAGCGCAATGCACTCCATTTCAACGCTCTCGACGCCGCCTGTCTGAGATTGCACTTGCGAGATGACATCGAAATACGACGAGTGGGGTATATAGACGAGACAACTAGCGGTCCTTCATGACCTCGTCAAAGAGGAGCTTCTTGAGCTGCGCGGGCTGCACCTTGCGGTAGTCAATGTTGGGTGGCGGCCCTTTGTCGGCCTCGGTTGGCACAAACGTGAGCTGCTCGAGCGCTGCGTTGCGGCACGAGTCAAAGTACGGGTGGGCAATGGCTTCCGCTGCTGAGATGCGGTCGTTCGGGTCAAACTGCAATAGCTTGTCGAGCAAGCTCAGCGCCTACAATCTCGCTCGCGCCCATAATTTCTTATTTTTTCAAAATACCTCGGGGTTGGCGTGCGGAAAAACGTCGGTCCACGCCACCTTGGCGATGAGCGGGCTCTGCGTCAAGAGCTGTCGGCCCGCAAACCGGCGCGCCGACGGGTTGTCGCAAAATGAAAACGTCGACGGCGTGCCCACGACCTCAATGATGACCTACACGACTCGACGGATGACGCACCCTCTTTCTTCGCGTACCTTGAGTTGGTCGACGTAGCTTTTGCCAGGAAAGAGGACGCGCCGGCCGAGGAGCTCGCCAAAGATGCAGCCGACGCTCCACACGTCGATCGACATGGCGTACGCATTGGCCAAGAGGAGCTCGGGGGCGCGGTACCTAACCCTCGCTATGAGTCCACACAGAGACAGCCAGTATACCATCGGGTGACGACGTATTCGCTCAGGCCTTCCTCGAGGTCTTGGTCGGTCGCAAAGCGCGCGAGGCCAAAGTCGCAGATCTTGACGGCGCAGTCCGAGTTGACCAGAATATTGCTCGGCTTGAGGTCGCGATGGAGCACGTTGGCCGAGTGGATGTATGCAATCCCGCATAAGATCTGATACATGAGAAACTGAATGTGTTCGTCCGAGAGGTGCTCTTTCGAGTGGATCACGCGGCACAAGTCGGTCTCCATGAGCGACTGGACAATGTACAAGTCGTCAAACCTACATGGCCCATGAGAAAATCGCAAAATATAATCGCAAAAATCGCAAAAAATCGCAAAAAATCGCAAAAAAGCACACAAAATCACAAAATACATACGTCTCAAAGCTCAGCGGGCGCTGCAGCTCGTGGATGCCCATGATGTTCGGGTGCGCCCCGACCTTGTTCATGAGTTGAATCTCGCGGAACGCGAGCATGGCCACTTTGGGGTGGCGCATAAACTGGCCAATCTTCTTGATCGCAAACGTGCCGCCGTGGATGCAGTCGCTTGCTGCAATCACGACGCCGTACGTGCCCTTGCCGACGACCTTGACCATGCGGTACTTGTCGGCGACTGTGAACGTCGCGTCGCCAATGATAAACTGATGGAGTCCGCGGTCGTCCGAGACGAGCGACGGCGTCGACAGTGTCTTGGTGGCCATCTCGGAGCTGCTCTCGTCGTCGATGAACGAGCTCAGCATCGCGCGCGGACCCGTCGTCGACGGTCTGTTGGCGGGCAGCCACGGGAACGCCGGTCGCGTCGCCTTGGCCAAGGACGTTGTCGGCGACGGCGGAAGGCGACTGAGCGGCGCAATGTGCACCTAATCATGGCGAGCACAAGGCCATTGGACCAAGACTTTGGCCATGAGAACGACGTACCGAGAGCACCATTTTGCCAAAGAAGCTTTCGTTGGCGTTCGAGAGCGTGTACGTTTGCCAGTTGGAGTCCATACCCGCGCGGTTGAAAAAATACGCCAAGTTGACCGTCGTCCGCGCGAGGACTTCGTGCGACGCGACCAGACAGAATTGCACTAGGCCGGGTCGATAGCCCACACGAGTCGCAACACCGAGACGTACCGCCGAGGAGCGTATTGTCGTCACGTGACAGCGAGTCGAGCTGCAAAAGCACGTCTTGGTTTATGTCAAAGTGGCAGAGGTCGCCCTCGACAGCGGACGCCGTGAGCACCTTGGTCTGCGCCTCCGTGTGCCACTCGTTGTTTTCATTTTCAAACGCACAGCGCACAAAAAATCGCTACGCAGGATCGTCAGGCGACATGGAGATCCCAGGCGAGTGCACCTGCGTCGGGTCGACGCGGATGCCATGCAACGTCTTGAACTTGATCGCGACGACGTAGCCGCCGACGAAGGACTCGCGTACGCGCTCCGAGTGCGATGGCAGCGTCAGGTTCATTGAAAATCCCTGCGGCTTGAACACGACGGACGCGGCGACAACGTCGCCAAAGATCTCCCACCTACAACGAGATGAGCGCACGCCCGGCGAAGGCCGCGTATACCGCGAGATGCGCCCGTCTTCGCGGAAGTGCAGCTTGTGCACCCAATGCTGCATAAAGGTCGCGTTCGACGCACGCACTTGCATGGTCTCCTTGCCCGAGACGACCACGATCCGCTTCTCGGCCTGGCCTTCGCAGCTCATGCCGTCGACCGAGAACGACTTGAACTTGACCGCGCGCGAAAGGTTGGTAAAGTAATCGAGGATCCCCGCGTACTCGCGGTACGTGCCTACTTTGTAGTTAGTACATGGCAGTCGTCTCGCAAAATGGCCACCGGCAAAGGGCACCATCGGCAGGTAGTTGGAGCGCAGCACGACGTCGGGGCATAGAAGCGAGAAGAGCCGACACAGAATGTGGTCGGTTTTCGGGCGAAGCGACGCGATCGGCGCGTTCGGGATGACTTCCATGCTCACGCGGTGGCGCTTGGGCGTCTAACACCCGAGGATACGTACATCAGCGACGGCTGAACGAAGGTAGTGACGGACCTGGTACATTTTGACGCGGTCTTCGAGCTCACAGAGCGACGCGTAGCCAAACTCGTACGCAGCGTAAAAGTCGGCAAGGCCCACAGACCGCAGTGGGCCGCGACGCCGCAGGCCGCCGCTCTCCATGTCCGTGTCGGCGACGCCGTGCGTGGCCATGTGCATCCAGAGCTGCTTGCTGGCCTCGCTCTTCGCCCGCAGTTGGAGCTTCTTGGCGTTCTGCGTCTCGAAGATGAACCGGAATGGCACGTGCTTGGTGGCCTTGGGGCTCGACGCGGGCGGTGACGTCGGCGCCTCTGTCGACTCGTAGTCGTCGTGCGTGCGCAAGTCGATGACCTTGTCCAAGACGACCTTGTCGCTGAACGTGAACCGGCCGTCTTTGATCTTGGAGTTTTCTGGATGCAGCCGCGCGTCGTCTTCCGAGAGGTAGCAGCAGAGGACGCGGCCGTGCAGCACAAAGTAGTAGGTTTCCCAGTGCTTGAGCCAGTCGGACCGCTTCATGAGGTAGCCTTCCCAGTGCAGCGACAAGCTGGGTTCGTAGAGCCCGCGGAGACCGACCACTTTCGGGACAGCGACGGCGTGCGTGGTCTTGAGGTTGGACGCGCTAAAGCTCCGAAGCCGCGCGGCTTCGGTGGACGCGTCCTGTGTCGGGTTCCCGTTGATGCGCTGCAGAAGCTCCGGACCGCTCGCAGTGCGCGAGAGAAGATCGGACGATGCGCTGCTGCTCGGCGCGGCGACCGGGAGCAATGGCGGTGGCGTCGCCGACTCTTCGTCCGCCGACGATGAGACGTCGGTCGCGTCGAGTCCGACAAACGACTGCTGGTAGCTCAGCCGCGCGGCCGTCGACAAGCGCTCTTCGCCGCCCAAGACGCTGTCGGCGAGGATCTCGACGGCGAGCTCGCATGGCTTGCCGTCGATGACACGGCCCGC